CTGGAAGTCTGGTCATGACTGATTTCTCTGGGGAACAGCACATTGGCTTATATCATGGACATGTAGGCGAATACAAATGACTCGGTTAAAAGTCTGTAGGTAGATTTTGATTATGCAATCTGTGCATGATCATTTGGGGGGGGGGCTTTATTTTCTGATCAAACGTAGATCGCTGCGACACACACATTAGAAGCTCCAGCCGACAACCCTAGTATTCCATGGATAGCATAGCGTTGGCGGCTGGAGCTTGTAATGTGTGCGTCCTACGTTTGATCAGAAAATGCCACTCAAGACATACACAATTCGCACTGACGACAGACTCGCAGGCAACCATACTGGATGCCTGAATTGCTCTGTGGTTACACAAAATATCATTAAAATGTGGGTATTATAGTTAAAACATTGCATATTATTACTCCGTGAAGGAGGTCAGGACCTCCGAGACGGAGTGTTGTGAACGGCTGGTTTTTCGTGTTCGCAGTCAAAACACTGGGTTCTCTTTGTGTAATCGGCACGCAATTTTATACGCCGTCTGCGGGCATGCCCGTGTTGATGCACGAATGTGTATTTTTGCCGTTGCTGCTTTCGCGGTCAATGTAATATTGCAGACGCACCCCTACAATTACGAGGCGAATTGGAATGGTCCAGAAAAACGCGTTGTTTGGAATAGCAGTGGGGGGGTGGAACTTCATGCAGATACGGGGTGGTTTTGATAAGTGGTTCCAGATGTTTTTGCCCATGGTTAAGAGATGGCAAGTTTTTTGGAAGATGTTCGCAGCCAAAACGCATTCTTCCGTACGTCGCATTTCTGTGTAATTTCGCATGTGGTGTTGCATTATGTCCGGGATGATGCACGTCTTTTTATTTTTACCGTAGCTGTTTTGATATTGGAGTAAATGCATATTTTAGAAACATCCCTACTTTTACAATCCTGTGGAATAGGCCGTAGGTTTAGGCAGTTGTCTGGTAGCAGAGGTTCTCCAAGCAGATATCCCGGGTATCTGACCGGCGGAAGTAACACTCGCGGTGCTAGCCGCGACTGTTGCTGGAATTTGGCCTGTTCCAGCCGCGCTTAATAAGTAACAGGCACGGTAAGACGGTGTCTTCGTTAATAGTGACACGACCATGATAGTCCGATCTTTATGTGAATGCAATGATTGTGTGTGTGTAATCAAAATGAACTTCAAACTTGAACTTCGAACTTGTCTGCACAGTAGGTCTGGCGTTGACCCTTGGGATTGTTTTTGTTGAAATATATAAATCTTCACGGAGGATTGTCGCCTATGGCTTCTTGTTACATTGTTAAAATTTATATAAGGCCACACCAATTTAATTTCTTGGTTAACGGATTCGCCGCTTCATTTTTTTCTGATTTGCAAATAAAAATAAAAATCCAGAATCAACTGCAAAATGCTCATATTTTGCCCTGAACAGTTGAAAACAGACCTTTTCATCCTAGTTGTTACAGTTATTCCATCTTTCAATGCAATGGTATCATTAAAATTTCAAAATTCATTGTTAAAATTTTGAACCAGCCTGGTGTGTTGACTTCATGGCTCCTATCGTACCATTTTGGGCCATATATAATTATACTTCATAGGAGGTAACAGTCAATACAGCTAATGAAAATCCAGATATACCTTAGGCCACATCAATTTAATTTCTTGGTTAACGGATTTTTCTAGAAAAGTAATGGAGCGGGCGGGTGAAAAAAAATAAATAAAAACAGGCCTAAGCATCCTATTATGGCCCAAAATGCTACGATAGGAGCCATGAAGTCAACACACCAGGCTGGTTCAAAATTTAAACGGTTACCATGAATTTTGAACTTTTAATGACACCATTGCATTGAAAGATGGAATAACTGTAACAACTAGGACGAAAAGGACTGTTTTCAACTGTTCAGGGCAAAATATGAGCATTATGAGCATTTTGCAGTTGATTCTGAATTTTCTTTTTTCTTTTTGCAAACCAGTAAAAAATGAAGCGGGCAAATCCGTTAACCAAGAAATTAAATTGGCAATAGCTACATGTACATATTATGTACATGTATATACATATATATGTACAATCATGTATGTACATAATATTATACATATACATATATTACCCAGAACATGGACAAGTGCAGGTTACATGTACAATGTACATGCAGGTAGACATCAGAAATATCTGGCAGTGCACAGCTCCAGTTTTACCTGCAATAATCTGCATATGCAGGTAGTATTTCAAGCCCTAAATGCTGTCTGTCTCAAAACCGGGTGAAACTTCTTTTTAATAAGATGATACACGGCAGAAAATAATCTGGGGATGGAATATTGAAATTTCCCCTTCACAAAAGTCCCAAGAGCCCAGCCAAAAGATTTACTGTGTACAATTACTGCTCTTAACTGCAGATATTGCTTCCTACTGCAGCCATTTATCCCATGTATTTTTGATGTGATATAATGCCCGAAATAAATAAAATGAATTTGTCGAAGATGAAAACTGTCCCAATGGAAATTGATAATGTATTCGACATTGTTTGACAGCATTTATCAATTCTCCATCTATGTCATTAGTAATAGTACATGTAGTTTCCCCAGCCAGTTGACACTATTAAATGTGCAGTACAAATAATCTAATGGTAACCATTTTATATTCATGAAACTGGCATTTATCATATTTTGGCATTTACACTAGTGAATACAGCACCAAAACGTGATGTATTTGAACTTTTTCTCTTACTAAGTGTGATGAAACTACATGTACATGTGCACATGTCATTAAATTGTCCAATCTTCTTGTTGCAGTGCTCCCTCCGTGAATTGGGATGACATTGGTGAGGACTCTTTGCTTTTTCGAGTGTTTACTCTATGAGTTATTTGAAGTAGATCACTATGTGCTTGATTGCTTATGGCCTGTATTCTGTGACTATTATTCACTTTATGTTTGCGGTAGCAAAAGTTCGTGGTCTGAGAAAAATGGACGTGTGCGCGGAACTGTATGTTCACAGTGGCAGGAGTGCAGCAAAAAGAAAGTCAGGGAATTATTTGTTCACGGTAATGATAAGTTCACGGTACAGACGTAACCGCAAAAAAATGTGAATATAAAGTACCACGAAAAAATCACGATTTACAGTATTCTATTATAAATATCATATCCCATGTGCATGTTCTTCAAACTATTGTTGCTGATCCAGTCAACCAAGTTAGAAAGTTACTACCGGTAGTACTTGTGCTTTTGCTTTACAGCATGTCCTATTTTATTAATGATTTGTTTTCTGCCCATAGCTGGACAAGATGCCGCTAAGCAGGCCCTGCAGGAGATCGTCATTCTGCCATCCTTACGGCCTGAGGTAACAACTAACTTTCTCTTGATTTGGACTTGAATTTGTTTATATGATTTCTGTACCTATATATGTTTATGTTCATGTTTATGTTTTGGTGTCTTATAAGCCCATATGGGCTGGGCGACAAAAGTCGCAAGACACGTAAATAAAAAATTCATTCATTCATTCATCCATCCATCCATCCATCCATTCATTCATTCATTCATTCATTCATTCATTCATTCTCATCATGATCCGTTAGTAAAAACCAAAATTGACATTGTGAATGTAGTTACAAGTATCATACTACAAATTGAAGTGGTACATGTAGTACAGTGTACAGTCAAACCTGTACAAGTGATACCAGGTATATATAATATATATACATTATAACAAGCAACACCTGGCAACTTTTTTCTGATCCCTTTTTCCTATTGACACAAGCATAAAGAATCCTATCTATGTACGATCAGATTCTATTGGTCCCAAGTGGGCTTCTTGGACAGATTTGACTGTAATATTAATGTAGAGCACTTTTTCTGAAGTTTGATGCACATAAACCTAAAAATATATTGCCCGTAAAAATATCATGTAAAACTTAAAATTATCAGTATCACATTCTTTGATTGGCAGTGTTGTTATTTTAGAGCACATATTTTGAACTTCCATTCAACTAGATGTACAATAGTTTTTAGATGTACAAAAACTGTTGTACCTTAATTTTATAGTTTGTATATAACTCAATGTACTTTTGGCCCTCTGAAAAGCATCACTGAGTAGGCAAGCCTGTATAGATATGACAGAAATAAATGAATAAAATATAATTGCCCCCCTCCCTCCCACCAGCTATTTACCGGCCTGAGGGCTCCTGCTCGTGGGCTGCTGCTCTTTGGACCACCGGGAAACGGCAAGACCATGCTGGCTAAGGCTGTGGCCAGCGAATCTAACGCAACCTTCTTCAACATCAGTGCTTCCACACTAACATCTAAATGGGTAAGTATGGCCAAGGAAAAAAATGTTGTGTTTCCTGTTTCCTGACCGACCCTAGAAAAAACTGCCTTTTTTTGGTGTGTGGACCCCTGATTTTCTAATTCCATGATCTGACACCCTAGTGATCCTCGAGTGATGAACTGTTTTACAAGTGGTTTTCCAACATTGGCATTGAAAATGTGTAATATGCAAGTTGTACTTTGTTAGGCTGTATTGTCTAAGTTGGGTAACTAGAGATCGCCAAAGTCTACAAAAAATATGAATTAAAAAAAAAACGTAATCCCTACCTACCGAACTTAATGTTTGCAGAACTAAAACAGGAAACACAACATTTTTTTCCTAGGCCTATCTGAATCTGTAAAACAGTATAACTGCCATTTGCCATATATATGTAACACACCGGCTTATTCTGAAGCTTGGTTAGATATGAGATGTTGCCTTTAGTATTGCATTTAAGACAGTCTGACATGTACTAGTATTATAGTAGTATATGAGTTCAAGTTTGGGATGAATGCTACATAAAATACAGGATTAGATTGAGATATTTTGGAGTGGCAAATAGTGCAGAGTGAAATAGTACTGTGTTAGCAATTTTCTCAAATTAGCATCAATCAAATGAAGTCGGTTAAATCCAAATTAAAATCGTCTATTTTAGAATTTTAGAATGTCTATACAGTTACTCCATTTTTATGTCATCTGCAAATGTTCAAAGTGAGAACCTTGCCTCCCTTTCCTTTCCCAGGTTGGAGAGGGAGAGAAACTGGTGAAAGCTCTGTTTTCTGTAGCAAGAGAACTGCAGCCTTCCATCATCTTTATGGGTAAGACAAGCACGTCAGCTGAACGTACTGCGTCTGTGTCAATATATCATAACATAATCTGCTTAACACTTAGGCAGAACGTCTTGTTTAAGGCTGTGCTTGCCTTTTTAAGGATTACATGATTGTATATCCCGTCTATGGTTTTCAAATGTTGTGTTGAAAAATATATCATCATTCTGCAACATGCAAAATTCTGATGCAACGTTGACCAAACATCCATTACCGAAAACCGTGGAAAATCTGGGTTTTGCACACGCATGCACAGTACGTTCAGCCAACATGCTGGTAAGACACTAACACAGGTGGAGTTTCCCATCTACCTATAATTAGCACTCTCTTGAACTATTGACTAACTCACTGTGCCTATCAGGATAGACCCTGCTGCAATTGATAGAGCTATCAAAGATACATAAAAGCCATCCGTCATCTTTATCTCTTGTACATCTCATTGGGAAGGCCGTTATCATAATGGTGGAATTAGGGGAACCTTGGAGGCTTGCCAGCAGTGCTGCCTTCAGCTGATAGCCACCTGGCTAATCTTTCTGCTGATGAATGTGTTTTGACAAAAGCCACACATACCGGTAGTTGAATATGGCCTCCCGAACATTGCCAAGCTCCCCCCAACCTAGCATCTACCAGGCTTCAGGAGGCGGCTACCGGTAGCTGGAAAGAGTAGAAATTCGCCAAATAGAGGGATAACATGCCAGGGGAGTTATGCCCTGTCATGTTATCTCTCTATTTGGCCAATTCTACTCTTTCCAGCCGCGTCTTGAAACCTGGTAGAACCTACCCCAGCCATGGTACTGTAGGTCGGGAGTAAGGTTGGCCACGGTTGGCTGGTGCTTGGCGAGGTTTGCTGCACCAGCTGAATGTTTCGTTATGTTTCAAACATTTGGGTGTGGAGGGGAGGTTCAGGCATGGTTGCTGGTGTTCAGGCGTATGTCAGCAGCTCAGGGTGTGTTTGGTGTCAAATTTGACTCATATTTAACTCAAATTCTATTTGATTCGTATATAAAAGTAGGCAGGTGTAAATACAGTGAGACAGCTTCCAAACTTCAGCCAACCTTGGTTGGTTGGTGGTCGGAGGAAGGTTCTGAATGGGCTTTACAGACCAATTTCTGCTGAGTTGTAAGTTCTTGTATGTGTCCTGCAGATGAGATTGACTCCCTACTGTGTGAGAGAAGAGAAGGGGAGCATGATGCCAGCAGGAGGCTCAAAACAGAATTTCTCCTGGAGTTTGATGGGGTGAGTAAAGACTGTCATGGCCTCAACTTCTGCTGTTCCTGTCCTGTTTTGTTTTGTTTTTTAAAAGCTGTTCCAAAAACAGGAATGCTGGTGGTAAATATCTGTGATATGCTTGTCAATGACTTACTGTATTAGAATTGCTTTGATGCTTTAATGTACATTATCAGTTGAGAACCGCATTGATATGGATGATATATGGTGAAATGGCAAAGTTATTTATTCACAACCACTTTTTGTTTAACAAGAGCCAACGTTTCAATGACTGTCTGTCATCTTCAACTGGGCTAATATGAATGAACAGATAAAGATGACAGATAGTCATCAAATCGTTGTCTCTTGTTCAACAAGCGGTTGTGAATAAATAACTTTGCTATTTCACCATATATCATCCATTCTCAACTGATAATGTAGTCTACATTAAAGCATATCATCCATATCAATGCAGTTCTCAACTGATAATGTAGTCTACTCTGATAAATGTAGTCCTGCAGATGATATTGACTCCCTACTGTGAACTGTGCTGTTCAATCATTCAACAACCTGATGAAATTATTCCTGGATAGTGATTGTATGGTGTATAGGTGCACAGTTTCTCAATGCAAAATGTGTCGAAAGTTGAGAAAACTTGGTGGCCGTAAACCAATAATTCTAACATCCAAATCCGACATTCAAAAACCGCAAACTGGGTGCAGGGGAACGTGTTTGTATTAAACGTGTTTGTATTAGTTTTATTGACGTAATTTTCGAACCAAAGTGATATATTCATATTTAGATTCCGATATGATTGTAATTTGTATTTCCCTACTATTAATAATTTATATTGTAAACAACTTGATCAGAATCCAGCCCTGTATGTCAAGACTGCGAGATATGTTGTTGATATGTTAATACAAACAAATAAACCAATAAATTTTTGGCTAGAACCCTTGTATGAAACGTCTTCAGGGCCCAGGTATGACAATCTGTAGTACATGATAAGATTAAGGAGAACTACATTGATGTAGATGATGTGTGGTGTTTAGGTGCACAGTGGAAACGATGACCATATCCACTAACCGGCCCCAGGATCATGCAATGTTCCAACACAGATGAGCTTTCATGTGTAGTGTGTAGTACAATCATGATAATAGTGAGGAGAACTGCATTGATGTAGATAATGTATGGTGGAATAGCAAAGTTCTTTATTCACAACCACTTGTTTAACAAGAATTGATCATTCGATGACCCTCTGTCATCTTCCTCAGGGCAAGTATGAATGACGAAGATAACAGGTGGTCATCAATATGTCGTCTGGTGTTTTTTTTTAGGTGCACAGTGGGAACGATGACCGTATCCTGGTGATGGGAGCCACTAACCGGCCCCAGGGTCATGCAACACAGATGAGCTTTCATGTGTAATGTGTAGTACAAAGTCATGATATTAAGATTGAGGAGAACTCCATTGATATAGATACATGATAAATTTGTACATGTAGGTGCACAGTGGGAACGATGACCGTATCCTGGTGATGGGAGCCACTAACCTACCCCAGGGTCATGCAATGTTCCAACACAGATGAGCTTTCATGCTAATGTATAGTATATTGAGGAGAACTCCATTGATGTAGATACATGTACATGATAAATTTGTACATGTAGGTGCACAGTGGAAACGATGACCATATCCTGGTGATGGGAGCCACTAACTGGCCCCAGGATCATGCAACACAGATGAGCTTTCATGCTAATGTGTAGTACATGATAATATTGAGGACAACTCCATTGATGTAGATATATGATAAATTCGTACATTTATTGTAGGTGCACAGTGGCAACGATGACCATATCCTGGTGATGCGAGCCCCCAGGAGCTGGACAGACGGTCATCGAAACGTTATCTCTTGTTAAACAAAGAATTTTACTGTTCCAACCTGATGAAATGTTTTATGGATGCTGTCTGGTGTTTTTTTTAGGTGCACAGTGGAAACGATGATCGTATCCTGGTGATGGGAGCCACGAACCGGCCCCAGGAACTGGATGATGCCGTCCTCAGGAGGTTTGCTAAGAGGGTCTACGTACAGCTGCCTGAATTAGAGGTGTGAACACCTTTACTTTTCTCTTACACACTGAAGACCAATGTTGTTCCTAGGCATAACGCATATAGCAAACTCTTATAACTTTATATTCTATGTTAGGTCTTTCATGATTATTACATCAGCGTAGTGCTTTGCTTAGAGTGATTTTAGGTTACATTAGGTACCACTATGTTTTGACTAATTTTAGATTCATAGCTGTTTTAACAACTTCAGTCTATGTTTTCTATTCTACTATGTTTCACTGACAGTAATGTAGATGGGCATGCAATTCAGCCATCTGGACAGACAGACACACATACATGTGGGGTCGTGTGGCGCAGTCGGTAGCGCGTTCAGCTCACACCCTAGAGGTCGCGGGTTCGAATCCTGCCATGTCACCGATCCTGTGCCCTTGGGAAAGGCACTTTACACGACTTTCCTCACTTCACTCAGGTGTAAATGAGTACCTAGCTTTGGCTAGGGATGTCCCTCGGATAGGACGTTAAATGGAGGTCCCGTGTTTGGGAGAGCCACACCCCACGCACGTTAAAGAACCCACCGCACTTATCGAAAAGAGTAGGGGACCTTCCCGGTGTGAGTGGTTCAAACGTTACAGTCTAGTCTCGGGGTTGACATCTTTGAAGAGGTGATAGTCACCTGTTAT